TAATCTGGCCCAGGAATCTTATCATTTTTAAAACTTCCCAATTTTTTCTTAACCAGCTCAGAATTAATGCAGTCTTCTTGTTCGATCTGGTTTCCATTTATCAACTGTTCAAGATGTGGAATACTGCGTAAATCTTTGCTAGTAAAAACTGAAGAAAAAGCCAAATTTAATAACCCAACCATCTTATAATCATCAGATACTAGCCTTCCTTTATCATCTCTCAAGGGTCCTATCCCCATCCTAACATCTTGTTTACCCTTAATGTATTTAAAGAAAACCTTACTGCCAATTTTTACATTTTCAGCCAATCTTTTCTCATACTTCCTTTTGATGTCCTAATTTCCTGTTTCACCTACTTTCTCGATCTTCTATAATGTTCAAAATATTCTGTCATACCAGTCAATTTAAATTTCTTAAATTTAAGATGCTTTTCTTTAATTTTATCTCTTAAACTCTTTGTGAGCCAACCTGGTTCTACTTGCAGCTACCCTTTTCTTTCTATAAGGAATGTGTTTACCTTGAATATTACCTCAGCAACCATCACAACCAAAATGTCTGGAATAATATTTCAAAGGTGCATCTTTTTTTGTCCTAAGTCCCAGTCCCAAAACTATATGTTATATAACTATATATGCACAAAAATAATCAACTGATCAAAATTATTGTTTCTGATTATTAGTTTACCATTATCTCAACTGTCCAAGTAATTAAGTAGTGTCATTATGATTTCTGAAATATTGTGTTTTTGCAGATAAATCTGGGCTTAAAGTCAGAAATGTTCACCATTAATCATATATAGAAAAATCACCACTGTTCTTGGATTTAAGTCAGTAGTGGTGACACCCAGTGTGTTTTGTTGTGCAAGTTGCAGGTTCAAATCCAACTTCTGATGAATCACTTTTTATAGCTTTTTGATAAAAATTTGTATCAAACTTATTTACTATGCCAATTAAAATAAATTTTTAAATATTAAAATACTCTTTCATTTAAAATACTCAGTAAAAAGACACAAAACCAACACAATCAATCATATAACATATCATTTGTGAAATGGACATACTGTTAATAAGCTTAAAATAACTTGCAGAACATGGGAAAAATCATGGTTTTGACCTCCTACCTAAAGAAACTTAAAGAAAAACCTAAAACTTGGGTTTCAACATAAACAGTTGGCAAAGCATAGATAGCCCATTACCTAGCTTTCACCTTAACAACAAACACACACAATGGGTACGTTTCAACTACTTGGACAGTTTGAATAATCTAAAATAGTAATAATTGAAAACTCTAATTTCAATTAATTGATTATTTTTATGACAACCCATTTAATCATAATGTTGATTAATCATTTAGTTTACATAACACTAATCAATGCTACCACTCTTCACAGATAATAGATTATATCGATTAAACAAATTGCCCAGCTCTAAACAGCACATAAAAAAATTGTTTGACAGGTAAATGCTGACATTTTGATTCTTCGTCTAATTAACAAGTGGGTTTTCATTAAGTGATTAATATCTTTGTTTAGTTCTTCATTGCATGTTGTTTCTTCTAAATGCCTGATTATTTAATTCGTTATATCATAAACATCTAAATATCATTGTAGCCATATTTCACTACATACTAAATAATCCGATTAAGTTACTACACACTTAATCATTTTTATAAAGCAATTTCTCACATAATTTATGTGACAAAATAGTATTTTCTAATAACTGTACTCTTTCATGTGTTTTACTAAGGAAAAAAACATTGAATGTTCATGTAGAATAAATTTTTCAACTTTAGATGACTGATTGTAGCCTCAATTAGAGCTGGCCAATTAGTGGAATTTGATAATTAATTCTTTGTCAGGCTCATTATATGATTACATTAAACTACTCACTTATTTGTAAGAGACTTGGAGAGTTGGAATAATCAGAAAACACTAACTTGGAATAGCTGATTATTTTCATGAGTCCTAATGCTAATCAATTAAAATGAACAACCTTGAATTAACCAAACATAATAATTAGATATCATAATGGCACTATTTTAATTACTTGGACAGTTGGGACAATTTAAACTAATAATCAGAAACAATAATTTTGATTAGTTGATTATTTTCATGCATTAATCAATTTAATGCTAATTGATGTAGTAGATTATATCAATTTCATCTCCAAGCTCTAACTTAAATAGGCTCTACACATCATGATTTGTTTTTAGGTTATTTTAGAAAGAGTGACTGTTAAATATCTTTATGGGGATAATAAAAGCAAGACAGTTATAAGAAGTACTCTTGAGTGGAACATATTCAAGAACATTTGGACAAACTTGTACAGTAACCTAAAATATTCGAAAATCATATCCAGTTTCTGTATATATAAAAATTCCTTCATAAAAGATTTAATCTTTTAGTAAATTAATATTTAAAGTCTGTCAAAGTACTTAAGTTAACATAAGATTGCTGCTTAAATCCAGTTTCCTGTGGCATAAACAGATGAGAAAATTGAGATATTCATACTGGATGGAATGCCAGACTATTTCAGATTAACTCCCAGCTACCCCATTGTACAATTAGGTAGACTGAGACAATTGGTGTAATGTGTCTTGTCCCGAAGACACATAGACATGGCACTAGCAAACCTCAAACCTACAACCTTTCAACCTCAAGTTCAAAGTACTAACCAGTACTCCCAAAAGAATATTTGCATGATTTTCGAAGGATTAACATATTGGCAGACTTCACATGAGACAAAAAAAAAGATCACAAAACACCACTTAACAAATGTATACTACACATATAATGTTAATTACACAGATAACATTAAATGTTTTCTTCTCTTTTATAACAGAATTTAAAAATGTATTTACAGACACTGATTAGATGAATGTAGGGAAAATGTTACAATTTGAAATGTATGTTTATATTTTTTTAAGTTCATAGAAGTTAAATTATTGAATTATTCTACTCATTCATGTGATGATTGACCACATATATGCATGAAAAATGTACTTGACTCTGTATTATATAAAAATATACTTGTCAAGTTAATAAACTGTTTTAAAAGTGCTCTTTGATCATGAAACTATGAATCTTAATGAAATGTTTAGATTAGATGTGTTAGCAAACTCAATATAAAATGTACGAAATGTAGGACGAGTCATCCAGGATCATAATCTGGACTGATCTCACGTGAGGTCAGGTCAGGCACCATGTTCCTCAGGTCAGGTCAGTTGTAAAACCGTATTCTTTAGGTAATGGTAAGTCAGATGAGTAGCCTTGTTCCTCATTTACTTTTATATATATATATATATCTCCTTGTACAACAGATATGTAAGTTCTGTGATTAATGTGTGTATGTTATGTACTTTTCATATTATGTTACATATTATGCATCACGCTATTATTGCAATAAATAGCTAGCTTAAAAATGTTTTTTTTGTATTACTTTACACTGTATTTGGGTATTAAAAAATGTTTGACTTTTTTCCTGTGACTTTATTTCTAGCTCCTCCTGAGATCCAGAATATTATGATTTAAGATAACTGCACAAATTTTATGTGATATGTATATTTTAATACACTAAACAAAATAACAATTAAAAAAAACCAATAAAGAAAGAACAAGTTTCAGCATACTACATATGTGAATGTTATTTCAAATAATTCAAAATCATTGCTACTTTTTTTTTTAAATAGACAAATCTGGACAACTAGATCTCACAAGATTATGAGTAGAGTTGGCTGATTCGATTAATGTCACCAAATTAACCAAATAATCAAAATTATTGTTTCTGATTATTCCAACTTTCCAAAATATTGCCACTATGATTTTTATTTATTTTTGATTAATTCAAGGGTGCTCAGCTTAATCTATTAGTGTCATGACTCAAAAATCTAAATTAACATTTTCAGTTATTGCTATTTTTGATTATTCAAACTATACAAGTTTCATGAAAAAATCTACAAGTTAAATGTAACTGACTTATAAGCTACACAATTATTAAATTATCAAATTTCACTCATCACCCAGCTCTAGTTATTACCCACTAAAGCTGATAACCTCTAGTATTGTTAAAATGTGTCATCACTCATAAGCAACATAAATGTCATCATGCATTATTTTTATTATAAACCCATTAGGGACAGTCAAGTATATGTTAAAAGAAATCATGACTCACTAGTGCTGGCTAATGTTCATTCACTATTTATGGGCTGCATGTGTATTTGAGTTCTAAGACTTGCAGTTGACAAAATCAAATGCTGCTATACTACTATGGTATCCCTAATGATGAACTTTAAAAAATTTAATGAAGTCAGGCTCTGGATGCATGCAAATATAAGAAATAAAGGTGTGGCGATTACAGCAATATGAGTATCGTATCGTGAAGCCATGATACGATTGTATTGCTACATCGTCCAATACAATATAATTTATGTATCTTCACGAAATTTGGCAAACTTTCAGTAAACATTAGAAGTCTTTTGTACAAAACAATTTGAATTTATAATAAAGTATTCTTGGTAAAAATTAATGATTCAATAAAGGAAGATGAGTAATAAGTACTATTTTTTGTCTTCATTTCTTTTATCAAAAACATTATATACAAAGTAACAATAACAAAATAGATAAATAGATATTAACTTTATTTGTTTTATTTCTCTTGCCAGCTGCTGTTATTTGATCAAATCTGAGAATTTGAAAAAAGCACCATAAACTGTGAAGTACTTAAATAAAACAATGTTAGTAATATAGATAATAAATTACAGACAAGACTCAAATTTTGTAACAAACCATTAATAAAACTTTTGTATCTAGATACATATCATATCGCAGCATTAATATCTAGATACATATTGGATTGACTACTACGATGAGAAACGCACACCCTAATAAGAACCTATTACTTAAAAATTTTGTTATACATTATAGCATATAAAAACATGGGCAACAGATCCAGCAAGAAACAAATGATATGCTTAGGTACAATTAAAATATGTAATACACTTACACAAAATAACCACATAACTGTAACCCAACTTGCATGTATGTACACTGAACTGATCACTCTGGAATGTGGTACATAAGATGAAAGAGATTTAACACTCATCACTTCAGAACTATTTTCTAATGAGATGCTTTCAGTTTAAGTTTTGCGACTCCCTGCCAGAATGTACTGCAGGCCCTTTCACGTTATTAGAAATATTCATTTAATAACAGCAATTACTTTCATACTTATTACACCCTTAATTACAAATAATTAATTTTATCCTAAACTACAACTAATATGTGCATAAAACAGTTTTCCATCCAATCATCATACATGAAGCATACTTAATACTGTTATAATGTGCATAAATTAGACACCACAGGAAGGTATGTCATACAGCTTCCATTAACACTCAGTATGTGACAGTAACAATACATAGTGATGTACATATAAAATGTTTGAAATTCATTGTTTTACCATTCCAAAAGCTTTGTTCAAGAATGTCTGATATACTCTCTTACAGTGACAATACATTATGTTTATAATAGCACAAAATACTTATATTAACTTCCAATAATAACAGGCTATGTACTTAGAGCCAAACTAAAAATCAACGTGACAATCAGTATAGCTAATTAAACATACATTTCTTATGTTATGTATATGTGGCATTGTAACGTAATACAGCAAGAAATAATTATTGTATAACTTAAGTTAATGTGATTTCAATACAGACAGATTAAGGAATAGTTTATAAACATTCTATATTTAAGTATGTTACAAATATTCAATATTTAATTGTATTATTATTAGACATAACTGCTAAAATCCAGAGTAGACATACATCACACAGACTGTGTTACACTCACAGTCAAGAGAACTGTCAAATGGCAAATTAAAAACTGTGTGTTGGAGCATAACTGCAGTTACTTTATTATTTACAGTTTGCTGACTAATTGTGAGGTTAAAACTGCTGAACAATGAGTATCAAACATTTTATTAGATAATGAACCATAGATGGATATTGAAATGTTAATGTAAGACCCTATTGAGAAAGTACATGGTTGTTCGACAATAGTACCCAATACTGCAATGTCAAAAAGTACACAAGAAACAATGGGTGTGATTCTGGGCTACAAAAAGATCACTCAGTTATACAAGTGTCCAAAGTGAATTCTACTTCATTGAAAGGCTGAGTATTTGCCACAGTCAATGGGTGTGATACTTGCATTCCACAACCTACGAGTATGAATCAGTCAATCTTATCATGACGTTAAGTTTTAACTTCAAAAGACGCAGATTCATATATACTGACGTTAACTTATCAAAAATCAGTCTGTTCTTACAGTAATTTGTAAACGTGTAGTTCTGTGCAAAATAACTTTAATCTTATGGATTAAATTATATTAACTTACCAAAATTTTAGTTAATCTATCTAACTAAGCCTAAAAAAAGATAAAATCTAAAATTTCAGTATTAGTAGTAGCACCAGTACAACTACGAATCTACATTAGGAAAAGTAAATTAAGTTATAACGTTATTTTTAATTAAAGTAACACAAAAGTGTTTATCAAATTTATGTACTTACTATTAGTTGTCATGAAATTATAAATTCAAAAATAATGTAGCGGAAATGTTCAACAATATACAAATGTAATAACTAATACTACTTTCTATTTCAGCTCTAGCTCACATCAACGTACTCATATCTCATAACTAATTTTGACGTATTATTTTACTTTGAATGATGCCTCCAGCATATTTCAGGTTCTTTCTCGCTTTATTCAGAAGATAAAGTTGTTTGTAAGTAATTATAATAATAAATTGATATTGAACCAGTTAAAAATATAATAATTTCCAACATGTAACTGCAATGTAAATATTGAGGCATACTTTTCCATAACTGTGATTTTTAAAGATTTTCAAGTGTTTATTTAGTACAAATCTCAACTAGTAGAGCACTTTATTTAGGTTGTTGAATATTATTAGCTTATCTAAATTTGGAGTCAAACTATATTCAAAAAGAAAGGAGGAAAATCAGAGATTTCCAGTGATAAAAATTTCAAAATGGTTACCTCAAGAACTCTCTGCTTTTCCTTGTAGAAAATCTTTAACACCACATTACACAAAACAATTATCCAGACATGACCAAGAAGTTATGGCACACAAACTGTGAATCCAAGAGTTTATGGCCCGTGCCCCGTTTTTGCAAACTCACTCCATACTTTGGGGCCTTGTGTGTGCCATAAGTGTATCGGTCAAATTCCACTACCTGCCAAAAGTAGCCTAAGAGTTGGCGGTTGTTTCTATTGATTAAATTACTTCCATCTAGTCTATCATTTTAAAACAAGGGGTGTCTGTTACAGATAGCTAGACATATCATTGTTGAAATAACTGTTAACATCACCCTTCCATTATTAGTGTAGAACATATTTGTTGTTTTTGTTTTGAATTAGCAGTGTAAGACTAGAGGTAAGGCAACTAGTCATCACCATCCACCGTCAACTCTTTTACCAACGAATAGTGGGCTTGGCCGTCACATTGTAACGCCCACACGGTGAAAGGGCGAGCATGTTTGGTGGGACGGGGGTTCGAACCCGCGACTCGCAGATTGCAAGTCGAGCGCCCTAACCACCTGGCCATGCCGGGCCCATATATCTGTTGCAAAAAGATTCAGGTGATTTTCGTAAATTTTGATGTATAAATGTGCTGCGTGTAGTTATAATGACATCCTTGTAAACCAAATGTCAAAAGTTTGGAAACATAAACGAAACTTTTTCTTAGATAAAATCTACATACGACAGCTATCTAATGAAAACGTGTACTAGTTTAATCCTTCTTTATGTACTTTCTCTGGGGCAGAGCAAGCCCACCTCAAGGAGTGATATAGATGCTTGTACAATTTGATATTATTTGAGGATTCTCACCCTTGGAATAGTCTTTGGCTTAAGTAATCTATGGATTATGGCATACCAAACTAAGACCTCTTTGTCTGACTTGAAAACACAGTATAATGTTATCCTTGCTGTCCTTGTCTTGTTCGAATGTATTCAGATAAGCCTCTCCAGCCCCAGTAGCCATTTAAACTCGCAACGAACAAATCAGGTGTCATTCACTAAGGAAAATGCATAAACAGACATATTTTTATGAACAAATATTGTCTTATTTGTTCTCTCGTTCTTGCTGATTTTCCTTTGCTGTCCATGTTCAATTTATTCTCTGCATAACAATTTTAAAATCTACTGTATTTGTGACATTTAATGCTACATGTCAGATATCAGTGTATTTGAACACCACAGACTAGTTAAACAGCATCGTTTTAGTATCATGACCGAAATATGAACCCGAGTTATTTTGGGGTTTATTTTTTAAGTACTTCCTTTTCCATTTGACTCTCTGGTACTCTAATGCGTGTAAATAATGATCATGGAAGGGTATTTTCTGAGAACATATACAATTTATGGCGGAGAGAATGGAGTTAAAATTGCATTTAGGACTCAATCTGAAAATGTGCCCAGGCACACTGACAATTCTTGAAAACTGCATCTAATGGTCAACAACAGTGTAGGATGTAATGACAAACTGTTTAACAGCATGCTACGTTATTATCATGGCAATGATAGCACGCTCTTTGGTCCATTTTGTTACAGATGTGAATCAAGTCCTTTCGATTCCTTCTTTTATCTTATCATGGGATATCTGTGCTGTAGTCCACAATCGTTTGAAGTTATTATCGTCCCTACAGTCACTAAGGGTCTTGATGGTGAGGTCCATGTTTCTCCTGGTGGTGATAACGTCCATGCTCTTTCCTTGCAGATATTTACTAATACTGGTGGTATTTAACAATATCACCTTCAGAAGGGGTAATCCAAACACGAATTCAAAATCACAAGCTGTCATCATACATCTTATCGTCATTATCACCTACTGAGATGAGAGTAATTTTGATAATTTTTTACATATGCTAAGTGGCAGCTTTCACTGCCTCCAATCAGCATGACCATCTTGTTACACTCAAATATTTTAGTGGAAAACGATTTGCTCATCATCTACCTCAAAATTCTTGAACAGAGCATGACATTTTGCAGATATATAAAAACTACAAAATTCACCTATATGCACAGATATATATACAAAATATACAACATATATATTTAAATTAAAATAAATATATAAAATGTAAAGAGAATATATAACACTCACGTAGGACAAACACAAAGCTTTCCTCCTCTCATCATAACCCCCCCTAACAGATCTTCAAGTGCAGAAGGTATTTTGTTAGGCCACTGTAATGGCCTTAACAATCTCTCAGCTTTAGCCAGTGACCTCTGTCCGTTTGGAAGCCATCTCCTGACAGTGCCCTTGTAGATGAGGATCTATTTAATATGGGACAGTTTGTTATTACCTTCACTAGTTTTACTGGGAGTTCAACTCTCAGCTGGGGTTTTTCTTGGGGCTTCTTGGATGGTGATGACTCAACCACAGCCATGAAAGAAGCTCCTTGCTTCATCTCCATAGGTTGGACAATGGCCAGTCTGGCAGTTAACATGGACACCCTTTTTCTCTTACAGCAAATTCCTTCCATAGCATCAGTGATGTCTTTATTGCTGACTGGCTAGTCTGGACTGCCACATTTATTAATCATTGTGGTCTTGACATTATAGGTGGCAGTTTGCATTGAGGGACCCATCCAATTTCAACTTGGTCAACCCTTAAGAGCATCCAAGCTCCAAAAATGTTTTCTTTAGCTTAGGAATGTAGTAATTTTGCCAAAGGTTTTAGCACATGTGGTAATATTTAAACATGCCATACCTTCCAATGGAATATTTCAGAAGCAAATTGTTTCTTGTTTGATGAGGCTGATTGCTTTCACAGGAATCAACAATGGTGGCATCAGCTGCTGTTTGATTCCTCTGGGATCGATGAGGTAGTCATTGGCACTGATACATCTAGTGGAGTCTTAAACTCTACAAGACTTTCCACAGGTTATGGTCTGCTTGACCCCGGAATACTTCACCAGTTTGAAGTCTACAACATCAGATGCTCCAGCAAGCAATGCATCTTCATTCATGGATTCAGCTACAGTGAATGTCAAGCTAGCACCAATAGTACGAGGGCTGGCTGCATAGTCCACTCACATTTCTTTGTTACAGATCTGGCCAATGCACTATGACAAAGTGATATTCTTGCAACATTGTTATCTAATGTGCAGTCATCCTTTCCAATGTTTAAAGTTCATTAATAATTTCAGCAAAGAATCATTCACCTGAACTAGCATATGTTATTATTCATTTTACTCCATCTTACAACTGTGATGGCACTACTCTACTACCACTGGCGTCAGTGTCCATCGGTCATGTATATGCCAGTTTTGAATTTTCCACTAAAACATTCTTTAGGGATAAGTATGCTCACTCACATTCCTCGTCAATCCAAAATGCATCTCAATATTTGTGAGAGCACACAATGGTGCTTCTATTTTGAAACAGTTGGCCATAAAATATTGATAATACGATGTCAAATAAAAAAAACTGTGGATTTATTGCTTATTCACTGATTGAGAACAGTCTCTCATCAATTCTATTGTAGCAGTATTTGTAGGAGCTCCATCTCTACTTACAATATGATCATGAAATTCAACCTTTGTTCATTTTCCTGGTTTCAGTTTCAAGCCTGCCTTTTTTATATATACACTAGAATACTGTTGCGTCAGCGAGGTCACGTGACTAGTATCACGCCA